CTTGTTGTGTTTGTAACGCTGAACCATGTGACTCATGAAGAGATCGCGTTAGTTCCCTATTTGTAATTTGGTGATAAATGAATCCGGGACATTGAATGTTGAACTTTGAACTACTGTCCGTTACTTATGTCGGGTATCACGAGTTCGATTCTATGATGAACGTTGAATTAGTCGAGTTAAAGTTAGTTAAATGTACAATAAAGTGATAGACTGAAACAGTGAAATGAAGAAAGAAGTTGTCCACTGTGGACGCCTGCTGGAGTGATGCAGCATTGTGGGGCGGCATGGAAACCGGCAGCTGCCAGGTCACCTTAGCTGGGCCAGGTCACCCACATATACACACCACTAAACACTACTTTACATGCATCTACTCTACCTAGGGCCTGACCGAACCTTGGGGCGGTCTTAGATTCGGATCCAGGTACGTACCATTTATTTTCCTAGCTTTGTCCCTATTTTGTAGTATGATAGGTCATTTTCCCATAAGGCCATTTGGGCCCGAACGCTCGGCTGCCCGTCGAGGAGGCTACTATGGACCCTAGCCAAGGCGAGCTTTGCAAGGACAGCTGTGGGCCGTAACAATGAGAGCGGTTCTCTTATACCGTCACCATAGAGCTCTAATTAATTATTATAACGGATTACCTTTAGAAATAAAACAGAAACAAAGTTGGATTAAAACATTTACTTCAATAATTTATAAGAATATAGGAAACATCGATACAGACTTTAACTATGATAAGACTCACTAAGCTAAGACTACGAGTACAATTTGTTCGAAGATTCTTTCTACGAGACTGGTATAAATATCACATTTATTTAATAACACTATTCTAAGGGCTGAATTTTCAATCCTCAGATAAACAGACAGTGTTTATTCGACAAATAGCAAAAAAAAATTAAATGGAAATATTCTGTCCTCCTCTAGCGTTTGTTTATGTAATCTTTATTTCGCCTCTCACAAGTTAGCGATGCTATAGTCAAATGAATTGGACGAATAACTATTCGTAAGATAAATGAAGTGTAGTTTTAATTATACACTGTTAAATAATTTTATTCGCATTTTGTCTAAGAATTGAAAAATCGGCCTTACATCTAATAACTTAATTAAACGTCACAAAAACATCAATATAATACGAGATCATGGAACAGGGTACAGTTTGATAGTAGATTATTGAAATGGGCTAATTATTCTTTAAAAAGAAAAACATCATCAAGTCGTTTCTAAGTGTTAAAGATATATACTTAGTTCATACCATTCACGAAGTCGAGCGAGCTTTACTCGTGGTTAAACGTGTAAATGCAAATTGTGATAGTTTGCGTGTCTGACGGAGAATCAGTTGCGAGCGCGCTAACTACACCCGCTTTTTGTCTCACGCACTCTTTGACACGTCTACAGACACGTGTTTACCACAAGTAAAGCCCGTTCCACTTTGTGAATACAAGAACCTAAGTTCTTGTGTAATCTAATTTAACACATGTTTATAGAACAGAATGTATTCCTGAAAGTTTTGCTGTGACAAGCAAAGAACTTAGGGTTCTACCAGACAGGAAGCGATCACGCGTTCAAGCGTTCCGCATTCTGCGTTCGAGCGTTCAGTTTCTCACGAATCCCGCAGTTGGACGGCTACGCGGTGCCGCTAGTCACCATGTTTTTTGACTATAGCTCTTCATCGGAAAACGAATTATTGATATTGTTAACATTAACAGCATCACAACGGAAAAGGAAACATTGGGTGCGCCCAGTAAATAAGAATAGAGAACAAGATGGAGAATTTCATAGACTGTGTTGTAACACTAACACTAACTGGGCGCACCCAATGTTTCCTTTTCCGTTGTGATGCTGCTAATTTTAACTATATCAATAATTCGTTTTCCGATGAAAACGAAATGGCAGTCAGAATCAGTAAGATGAAGAAATTTTTATAATTAATTTTCGGTTCACATTTCTCCAGCAATTTCTAACCATGCTTCTGCTACTTTTCCTAGGTTTTTATAATTATCATTCTTCACATCATATAAAAAACACCTTTCTCGTACCAACATAATTAACTTCTCGGTCTCCATCTTCCTTCCGATGTGGACACCGAAAGAGCAGTGAACGCGCGAACGCGCCAGTTCTGGTTGATCGACGCGGTCAGAACGCCTGCTTTCTGGGTACTATGTCTATGTAACGTAATATAACACAACGAACGCAGAACGCGAACCCGGAACGCTTGAACGCGTGAAACCCTTCTGTCTGATAGATTCCTTAGTGTTACTTAATGTGTTAAGCTGTGAATATATGTAAGCTTTGCGAACTATTGTATCATGAAGTTATAATAATTTTAGTTAATATTAACACTACATTTTGATTATAACGTGCACGTGAAATACTTTATATAATAAGATCTCTTGGGACTGTGGTAAAAGAGACAATGAGATTCAAGAGTTCATGAATGTGCGTAAAGGAGTTTTGAGCATGTTGGAAGTAATATGATGAGTTTAAAGCTAGTATTTTTTATAGAATGAGGATGATAAGGATTGGATGCTGTGGCCCTTAGACATCTGCATATTTCCTCGATTAGGTATCAAAATGCAGATACGTCGTCAACTCTGAGGACTAAGGTGGAAAGCCACGTTTCCAGTTAAAATGGTGTCCGGTTCTCCACGCTCACCATAATAAACACAGCAGCATTGAGCTGCTATTTTAAGCTGGTATTCTGTGGGAGCGTGATCTTTTTCCGGTCGAGCCGAGCCTTCCGTGCTACAACCACAGCTGCAGCATAGCTCTACTATATAAACGTAATAAGTAATATTTGATGACAAGATCTGTTTGAGCAAAACTTTGATGTAGTGATAACTTTAGGCGGAGTCGACGCAAAATGATATACAATAATTGAGACCTAAGGTATTACATGTTAGAATTTCACGACTCTTGTATATAAGAGCACTGGAAAACTTTAATTCGGTATCTTGGCTCGACATGTTTGGCGAAAGTTTTTCGAGTGTAAATATTATGGCCTAGACTAAAATTTTGACGTAGTGGAATTGCGTGTTTCCAAGTACCGGTCTAATAGTGTATGCGAAAGTACTGCCTGATGGACAGAAATGATTTGGCGCAGTGGCTGTAAAAGTGAGCTTTCGAGACAAACTCAGACAGTTGGGTGATAGAGATCCACCAAAATGAATCTGAGAAATTTTCGTCGAAGAGAGATACTAACATGAGCAGATAATGCTTACAGTTGGATTTAGGTGCAGCTGCAGAGGTAATATTAAAATGCTATGAAATTTTTGGCTATGGAAAGAAAAGGAAGGGAAGAGGAAGATCTTTCGTCAGTTAGTTTGTTCAGAAACTTCGATAGTGTGATCTAGGCTTCGATTGGTTTGACAGTGGTGCGATGAAATCGCTGTCCAAATTGAAATATTTTCTTCAGGCGAAGTTAGTCCGATATTGAGACAACTCCAGTGTAAACTCAAACTTTATTATGTTAAAATTTGTGCAACATCAAATTCTCTAAACCTAAATTTTGACATTGTGGAGTTTGAGAACTAGTTCTCGTAAGCTTGTAGTGCTTGTGTTAGAAGTGGTTTACGATAGTAATTTGAGTTTGTGAGCCGTACTGTACCATTAGGCTACTATCGTTTTAAGTTTAAACTCGAGAGTAAAAAGTACTCTGATACAAACAGTTATGATTGTCAATAGTTACGTGAATGAGATTCATTCATTCGAAAATTGATCGTTTACTTTATGCAATAAAAACGACTGTCTAAATATAAAGATGAGTAGTTTTTTCTTCACAACCTGTTACAGCAACACGTTCCGTCAAAAAAAATGTTATCTTTTACGACAAATCGCACATTACGTTGTTTTAGTAAATTCAAGAACTACTTACGTGTTGTTGCACAAAACAATAACTAATAGTTCTTAAACAACGGTTAATATTACGTAGTTGTTAGAAACCTATTGTCGCAACAGGTTTCACAGAAGAAATGTAACTGGTTACTTTATTATGTTAAAGCAACGCCCATCGCTATTGTATTACTATATGTAGCGGCACGAGTCATGGGTACAACCTTAACTTGTGCAGTAGTCCATTAATAGGTATCTTTGGTGAACATTATTATACTGGTTAGACTTTGTTATTTATTGGATATTTACTTGTCATATATCTGCAGTATATTGGCTGGGAAGGCAAAAGTTGTAAATTGATGTTCATGACTCATGCCGTTTACATTTTGTACTAAGACTTTTTATGTATACTGCTAGACCGACAATTCAGAATAAAAATTGTGTCATAGATGTGGATCGTGCAAATATGCCACGTGTTGCATGTTTTTAGGCAAATACGAAAAATTAGTTTTAAATTACGTTGACAAAGTGTGCACATAAAATGATAGTATTTTTTTAGTTACAATAAACAAAATCAGTGTTGTCATTTTGGATTTCCAAGATTACGGTGTCGCCATATAGCGGTCATAAAAAGCCGTTTTTTTCTTTACGGTGACGACATGATAGTTCCATTACCTTTATCTTTTTTTTTTTATAAAATGTCAGAAAGGTATTGCATTCTTTATTGTAATTATAAGAAGCGTCTTTGTTACGCACAAAATTTATGTAAAATTTCGTCGTCCTGCTTCTGGTGCAATTTTGTTTATCGTTATTGGTCACGGTTATTGAAAAAACGTTTGTGAATTATCCTGCACCGTTGAGACGGTCGTTTACGCTTTTTGATGTTACGACGTGAAATACTGCTCTTTAGGAAACTACGTTATTTTGTTTATATAGACAATGTTATAGTGAGGTTATTCATTGCTTTAGCGTCCGTCATGTAGCGGTACCGCAATTTTAGGGAATCGGAGTTTTAGTTTGTAACGTTTCGTATTGGTACTGTAGTTTTTCTTAAGTAATTTTCATTGAAGTCTGTGTTCAATTTGGTATGTGGGGTATGTAGTGCGGGTGCGGGTGTAGGAATTAGTTTGTTCGGAATCGTGGAGGTTGCAGTACCGATAGCGGTGTGCAGCTAGGCGCGGTGCAGCTCGAGGAAGGCGTGCAGCGTGGCGGGCAGCGCGGCGCGCGGCGGCGCGGGGCCGGCGGCCAGCAGCGCGCGCGCCGCCAGGCAGCGCAGCGTGACGTGGCGCAGCGGCCGCACGCGCGAGCCGCGGTTGAGCGCCAGCAGCTCGGCCGCCGAGTCGCCGAACTTGTTGGGCTGGTCCAGGTGCGCGCCGCCGCGCAGCAGCAGCTCCACCAGCTGCACACACAACCCTTTTACGACACACGCCCAAGGGGATTCAATCGGGATGCTACTCACAATTTTTTACCGCAGTCTTGGTAAATTACCTTAGCTCTTAAGTTATATACAAGACGTACCTCTGTGGAGAAGTTGTACGGAATGGCGGCGACGTGCAGCGGCGTGGAGCGCGCCTCGTTGCGCGTGCGCGGGTCGGCGCCGCAGCGCAGCAGCAGCGCCACCACGCCCAGGCACGGGAACACCGGCTGCACGCACACACGCACACCTCAATACACACGCAACTACTAATGCACACTGCTACGCACACAAACACTAGCTGCACACACATTCATACACACGCACACAACCACAAACACATACAGCAGCTGCACACGTACACATACACTTATACGTCAAAACACACGCACAACCACGCGAACAGTAATACTGGATACGTACACGCACACACGCAAATGAGTAGCAACTTCTTCCTCATAACAACTAAAATAATAATTAATAGGATTAACTTTGCGGAAAGTTATACTTAAATTATTACAACTTAATTTGTTTATTTCTACGTAATAAAATAAAATTATGTTTCTTGCCTATTTAGTATCACCTCCCACCTTTCCTCAATTACGTTGACTAACCCCGTCACCACCACACTAGGAACGACACACCACCCTGGATAATACGATACGTATTCCGCCTCTGCACGAGATATTCTCAAATGAAGCACACTACGGTAATTGACCGATAACTCAGCGGCAAGTCTAAATAGCTGCTATTTATATAATGCGATAACGTCACCGCTCCCCACTTAAATAGCAAGCGACTACATCATGCGAACAATCACCACGTGTAACGTGTTTATGGATATATCATTTAAGGCTAAAGCGGAAGTCTGGTTACAATTAGGTGCGGCCAGCAGTAATTGATTAAAAAACCATGCCCACTTTTCATACATTTAAAAACCGGATAGTAAAAGTTTATGTACTCATTTATCATCGCCATTAGTCATTTTTACGGTTTAAACGCTACGAAGCCCAAAAATTTTAATGTTACTCTTTAGGTTAAGAATTGCCGTTACCAAATACTTAATTTTTCTATCTCTTATTAATGTTCTATCACACTCTGAGATTATACTGAGAAAAATCTTATGTATTCCTACATATTTCTATTCTTCTATTCTATCATAATCCAATAGCACAATACACAATGAAACGCAAACTCAACAAGTGATTATATTCTCTTTAGCAACAACGAAGGACTGCGCCGATGCCAATCGTAGAACTGTCAAATGTCAAAAAAATCCGTTACACTCGTGCGCACTCAATGACATACTGCACAATTAATTTATTTAATATTATGTTATTTTTAATTAATCTGTAATAAGGAAATACTTACTGATTAAATAAAATATAAAATAATGTTTAAAACTTAGATACATAGTCCAATTAAGTTAGCGATTTTTGACTAACAGAATGTAATTAAGCAGTGTGTAAAATGGAACGTCCTAGAAAAAGGATAGTTGAGATGCGTTCAAAATATGATGGTAATACGTTTACCCTTGCCGTAGAATAAGCTTAAATAAATATTAAAAAATATTTTTCTCCTGCGTTTCTTTTAACATTGTGATAAGCGTATTTAATTTACAATTCTATTAGCTGAATTTTAAGATTTATTTCATTTCTATACCATATTCTATACCATATTTCTATAGCCAGGTAAAAAATGGGCATCATTCTTTAGGTGTACTGTTAAATTTTTAAAAACACGAATATACGTATCAAGTAATATCAGCGACAGTAGATTTAGGTGTGGTGCCAAAACCGCAAACATTTAATATTATATAGAAAAAAAAACATCAAACAAACGCGTTGCGGACCCGAAACGGTATGCCGAGAACTAAGTTGAAACAAAAAAGTAGAATGCGACGTACCGGCACGGCCACCTCGTCCGCGAAGTAGGTGGAGCGCACGACGTTGAGGCGCGACACGGCCAGGTGCAGCAGCGTGTCGCGCGTGTGCGCGCTGCGCACGTCGGCCTGCAGCAGGCGGCGCACGTGCGCGCGCAGCGTGGCGCGCTGCGCTGCGCTGCGCGCCGTGCGCAGCAGCACGTGCAGCAGGTGCGTCACGCAGCGCAGCGCGCGGTCGAACGTCTCCGCCTGCTTCTTGTGCACGGGCCGCGCGCGCAGCGCCGCAGAGCACTCTGCACGACACAGCGACACACAACACTGATAGACCTGCCGCACGCTGGATCCAAAATCACCTTTCGAACATTTACAGCTTTTAAGTTTTAAGTATCGTTTTTTAAAGTAGAAATGGCTTCTGCTTTGTATATTATTATGGTCAAAATGTTATACGAAGTAATTTTACGAAAAAAATTAAATAAATGTATGGAGCAGATACGAAAAATCAGTATAACCCTGGAATCGCAAAATTGCGCATTATATCCTTACAGGGGGTACTATAACCCACTAATTATTTATAATTTTTTGACATGCTTCATATTACAGAAAATACTGCACTTTTTTTTAAATCGTGAAAATTTTTTTTTCTTATTTTCCAAACTTGTTTTAATGCAGAAAGATAACTGATACGGGTTTTTGCTCAAAAATATATCAGAAGAAAGGTTTACTACAATTTCAAACCACTACCCTACTCCCCAACATCACATAGTAATAAAAATGTCTTTGATTCTATTGAGGTCTTCTAAGAACTACTACTATTACTACTTTTTCTGCTTTATTCCTAGCTAGATCTTTGAAGAGTTTTTGAGATATTTTTGTCATCGTTGCAATGGAAGATGAAGTTGAAGGATTTGCAGTTTTAAAATCTTCACTAGGTGGTCAAACATCTCTTCTGTTTGGTATTAAGCAGAAGCCATTTCAATCTTAAAAAACGACGCTTAAAACTTAAAAGCTCTAAGTCTTCGAAATGCGATTTTCGATCCAGTGTGCGCCGCAACAGAATACAGATGCACGCTTAGCCGCGGAAAGAGGTAAGAAGGTAGTACCTGCCCAAACGGACACATAAGCAGAAAAGTTTTTCTACTTTTTTGGCTCATAGAATTCCTTTGTCCTTTGTGCTTCTGTTATTATAAAAAGTAATTTAATGGAATAAGTTATAATAAAAGTTATGTGTAAAAATGAAGAATAATCGTAACTAACAAAAGTCAGAGACTCACTTGTATAAGAGTAGGTAAAATCACACTTCTAAATCTAAATCTACTTAAAAAAATATTGGTTCATAAAAATGGCTAAACCATTTAAAAGCGGCTATACCTAATTCGCAACACCTGTTGCAAAGCCGTTTTGTGCCATGCAAGGAATCTCCGGAAACATTACCGATGACAAAGCTCGTTCAGTCGCGCTCAACCCGTCACGTTCTGTCTCCCAGAAGGACGAGAAGTGAAATGCAGAAGCCCGTTTGGTTACGCTAAATGTATGTGGAGCGAAGAGTGATAAAGTGGATGAAGTATATGATATGATCTACACTAGAAGAATAGATGTGTAAATTGTGACGAAAGTAATACAAGTGAAATTAAAAAAAAACAGGCAGTCATAACGACTGCCGCCAGAACTAAAAACTCAATTATATACAAGTGAGTAGACAGCATGTCGAAGTCATCGGTAACACGAAGCTATAAAATTTTCCCCTAACAAAACTCGCTCAACGCGAAGTTTTCACTTCAAAAATATATTTAAAATTTTACCACGTTTTTACTATCATTTTCTTGCATTGTTATCTGAATTTTTTTTTGTTTTTTAAAAAACGTTACCTCCACACTAGGATTTTCTCCTGTGTCGTGGAGGCAGTATACAAACATAAATTGCACAAGGACAAACATCCAGACCCGGAACAATTATTTGTAGGCCATACAAATACTTATTCCGTGCGGAATTCGAACCCGCGGCCCCCAGCGCAACAACTGATTGCTAAGCCACTGCGCCACGGAGCCGTTACAGCTTTATTCAAAATTTGAAGTTTCTAGCACATCGGGAAATTAGTTGAAAATCTATTACTAAATTCCACCCGGAACGACAGACAAACAAGAAAGTGACTTAATAAAAACGTGCTAAAAATGTTCCGAATACTAATGGCATACGTATTGTGTGCTAATCTAGTGTAGATGAGACTAAGCGGGCATGCCAGGGAGTCGGTATCATCCTTAAAGATGAGTAAGAGTCTAAAACAGTATGAATGTGCAAGCCCAATACGGCTGAAAGTAGGCTTGCAGCTGTTGTTTATCCTGGTGGTTTACACATGTCAAAGCTCGCTTATATGCGTGAGCAGTTTTGGGAAATGGTAAATGTTGCTAATAAAATGAAAGGAAATATTATTATAATAGAAAAAAAATACTAAAAAGGGTGATGGTGAAGGAGGCTTGTTTTGAAAGGGTATTGGGACCATTTTATGTATCATCATGTAATTGAGAATGGGGAAAGCCTGCTCAAAGTATATATGTAAAGAAAGCTTCTGGTGACGAACACTTTCTCCGTCATTAGAATATTCATATGTAAATACTGTACATGGTAAAGCGGATAAGATTTTATCTTATCCGCTTTGATCCGCATGATCGATTTTATAATTGTAGATGAAAGCATAAGGAGCGCATTGGTAGACACAGGTGGTTCAAACGTAGGGAGGGATCTAACGTTGGATAAAATTTATCCGACAAAAAATACGTGGAGGCATCGGACATCTGTTGCTACTAGTGCGTACTAATACGCTGTATTAAGAATAGAAAAGTTCCAAAATGAACATCCGAAAAAGAAGTATCAATAAAAGAAAGAATTAGTGATTTGGATGAAGTGAATGAAAGAATAGGGCTTGGAGACTGGGAGGGTTATAAATTAAGGGAGGTTTGGTTGATGAAGTAACCAATGTGGATGGTGTATGTAAGAGAAAAAATGACAGAAGTAATAATACATGATGGTGGGATAATGAATTACGAATGGAAGTTGAAGCAAAGAAGAGAGCATGACTAGATGTAGTAGCGATTAAAGCAGATAATTCAGAAAAGGTGGTTTTTAAACGTAATAATAAAAGAGAAGAAAACGGTAGTAGGAAGAAAACAGCAATAAAGGATGGAGTGATAGCAGACTATTTGATAATTACCAGGCAAATAGAAAAATATTTTGTAAAATTGTCAGAACAGCCTAGTGAAGAGAATGGTTGTATTTTGAATGGCAAAGTATCGTAGTAAGTCCAGCAGCAGCCGCGTCAGCTCTGTGTGCACTGTGCACTGTGCAGCCACTAGACCTGTGAGTGACGTACAACGTACTACGTACTACGTACTACGTACCGGGCAGGTGGTCGGCCAGCAGCGTGAAGACGCGCAGCGCGTCCTCGTGGCGCGGCAGAGCGCGCGCGCGCTCCAGGCGGCCGCCGCACGCGTCCAGCAGCAGCCGCGTCAGCTCTGTGTGCACTGTGCACTGTGCACTGTGCAGCCACTAGACCTGTGAGTGACGTACAACGTACTACGTACTACGTACTACGTACCGGGCAGGTGGTCGGCCAGCAGCGTGAAGACGCGCAGCGCGTCCTCGTGGCGCGGCAGAGCGCGCGCGCGCTCCAGGCGGCCGCCGCACGCGTCCAGCAGCAGCCGCGTCAGCTCTGTGTGCACTGTGCACTGTGCACTGTGCAGCCACTAGACCTGTGAGTGACGTACAACGTACTACGTACTACGTACTACGTACCGGGCAGGTGGTCGGCCAGCAGCGTGAAGACGCGCAGCGCGTCCTCGTGGCGCGGCAGAGCGCGCGCGCGCTCCAGGCGGCCGCCGCACGCGTCCAGCAGCAGCCGCGTCAGCTCTGTGTGCACTGTGCACTGTGCACTGTGCAGCCACTAGACCTGTGAGTGACGTACAACGTACTACGTACTACGTACTACGTACCGGGCAGGTGGTCGGCCAGCAGCGTGAAGACGCGCAGCGCGTCCTCGTGGCGCGGCAGAGCGCGCGCGCGCTCCAGGCGGCCGCCGCACGCGTCCAGCAGCAGCCGCGTCAGCTCTGTGTGCACTGTGCACTGTGCACTGTGCAGCCACTAGACCTGTGAGTGACGTACAACGTACTACGTACTACGTACTACGTACCGGGCAGGTGGTCGGCCAGCAGCGTGAAGACGCGCAGCGCGTCCTCGTGGCGCGGCAGAGCGCGCGCGCGCTCCAGGCGGCCGCCGCACGCGTCCAGCAGCAGCCGCGTCAGCTCTGTGTGCACTGTGCACTGTGCACTGTGCAGCCACTAGACCTGTGAGTGACGTACAACGTACTACGTACTACGTACTACGTACCGGGCAGGTGGTCGGCCAGCAGCGTGAAGACGCGCAGCGCGTCCTCGTGGCGCGGCAGAGCGCGCGCGCGCTCCAGGCGGCCGCCGCACGCGTCCAGCAGCAGCCGCGTCAGCTCTGTGTGCACTGTGCACTGTGCACTGTGCAGCCACTAGACCTGTGAGTGACGTACAACGTACTACGTACTACGTACTACGTACCGGGCAGGTGGTCGGCCAGCAGCGTGAAGACGCGCAGCGCGTCCTCGTGGCGCGGCAGAGCGCGCGCGCGCTCCAGGCGGCCGCCGCACGCGTCCAGCAGCAGCCGCGTCAGCTCTGTGTGCACTGTGCACTGTGCACTGTGCAGCCACTAGACCTGTGAGTGACGTACTACGTACTACGTACTACGTACCGGGCAGGTGGTCGGCCAGCAGCGTGAAGACGCGCAGCGCGTCCTCGTGGCGCGGCAGAGCGCGCGCGCGCTCCAGGCGGCCGCCGCACGCGTCCAGCAGCAGCCGCGTCAGCTCTGTGTGCACTGTGCACTGTGCACTGTGCAGCCACTAGACCTGTGAGTGACGTACAACGTACTACGTACTACGTACTACGTACCGGGCAGGTGGTCGGCCAGCAGCGTGAAGACGCGCAGCGCGTCCTCGTGGCGCGGCAGAGCGCGCGCGCGCTCCAGGCGGCCGCCGCACGCGTCCAGCAGCAGCCGCGTCAGCTCTGTGTGCACTGTGCACTGTGCACTGTGCAGCCACTAGACCTGTGAGTGACGTACAACGTACTACGTACTACGTACTACGTACCGGGCAGGTGGTCGGCCAGCAGCGTGAAGACGCGCAGCGCGTCCTCGTGGCGCGGCAGAGCGCGCGCGCGCTCCAGGCGGCCGCCGCACGCGTCCAGCAGCAGCCGCGTCAGCTCTGTGTGCACTGTGCACTGTGCACTGTGCAGCCACTAGACCTGTGAGTGACGTACTACGTACTACGTACTACGTACCGGGCAGGTGGTCGGCCAGCAGCGTGAAGACGCGCAGCGCGTCCTCGTGGCGCGGCAGAGCGCGCGCGCGCTCCAGGCGGCCGCCGCACGCGTCCAGCAGCAGCCGCGTCAGCTCTGTGTGCACTGTGCACTGTGCACTGTGCAGCCACTAGACCTGTGAGTGACGTACAACGTACTACGTACTACGTACTACGTACCGGGCAGGTGGTCGGCCAGCAGCGTGAAGACGCGCAGCGCGTCCTCGTGGCGCGGCAGAGCGCGCGCGCGCTCCAGGCGGCCGCCGCACGCGTCCAGCAGCAGCCGCGTCAGCTCTGTGTGCACTGTGCACTGTGCACTGTGCAGCCACTAGACCTGTGAGTGACGTACAACGTACTACGTACTACGTACCGGGCAGGTGGTCGGCCAGCAGCGTGAAGACGCGCAGCGCGTCCTCGTGGCGCGGCAGAGCGCGCGCGCGCTCCAGGCGGCCGCCGCACGCGTCCAGCAGCAGCCGCGTCAGCTCTGTGTGCACTGTGCACTGTGCACTGTGCAGCCACTAGACCTGTGAGTGACGTACTACGTACTACGTACTACGTACCGGGCAGGTGGTCGGCCAGCAGCGTGAAGACGCGCAGCGCGTCCTCGTGGCGCGGCAGAGCGCGCGCGCGCTCCAGGCGGCCGCCGCACGCGTCCAGCAGCAGCCGCGTCAGCTCTGTGTGCACTGTGCACTGTGCACTGTGCAGCCACTAGACCTGTGAGTGACGTACAACGTACTACGTACTACGTACTACGTACCGGGCAGGTGGTCGGCCAGCAGCGTGAAGACGCGCAGCGCGTCCTCGTGGCGCGGCAGAGCGCGCGCGCGCTCCAGGCGGCCGCCGCACGCGTCCAGCAGCAGCCGCGTCAGCTCTGTGTGCACTGTGCACTGTGCACTGTGCAGCCACTAGACCTGTGAGTGACGTACAACGTACTACGTACTACGTACCGGGCAGGTGGTCGGCCAGCAGCGTGAAGACGCGCAGCGCGTCCTCGTGGCGCGGCAGAGCGCGCGCGCGCTCCAGGCGGCCGCCGCACGCGTCCAGCAGCAGCCGCGTCAGCTCTGTGTGCACTGTGCACTGTGCACTGTGCAGCCACTAGACCTGTGAGTGACGTACAACGTACTACGTACTACGTACTACGTACCGGGCAGGTGGTCGGCCAGCAGCGTGAAGACGCGCAGCGCGTCCTCGTGGCGCGGCAGAGCGCGCGCGCGCTCCAGGCGGCCGCCGCACGCGTCCAGCAGCAGCCGCGTCAGCTCTGTGTGCACTGTGCACTGTGCACTGTGCAGCCACTAGACCTGTGAGTGACGTACAACGTACTACGTACTACGTACTACGTACCGGGCAGGTGGTCGGCCAGCAGCGTGAAGACGCGCAGCGCGTCCTCGTGGCGCGGCAGAGCGCGCGCGCGCTCCAGGCGGCCGCCGCACGCGTCCAGCAGCAGCCGCGTCAGCTCTGTGTGCACTGTGCACTGTGCACTGTGCAGCCACTAGACCTGTGAGTGACGTACAACGTACTACGTACTACGTACTACGTACCGGGCAGGTGGTCGGCCAGCAGCGTGAAGACGCGCAGCGCGTCCTCGTGGCGCGGCAGAGCGCGCGCGCGCTCCAGGCGGCCGCCGCACGCGTCCAGCAGCAGCCGCGTCAGCTCTGTGTGCACTGTGCACTGTGCACTGTGCAGCCACTAGACCTGTGAGTGACGTACAACGTACTACGTACTACGTACTACGTACCGGGCAGGTGGTCGGCCAGCAGCGTGAAGACGCGCAGCGCGTCCTCGTGGCGCGGCAGAGCGCGCGCGCGCTCCAGGCGGCCGCCGCACGCGTCCAGCAGCAGCCGCGTCAGCTCTGTGTGCACTGTGCACTGTGCACTGTGCAGCCACTAGACCTGTGAGTGACGTACAACGTACTACGTACTACGTACTACGTACCGGGCAGGTGGTCGGCCAGCAGCGTGAAGACGCGCAGCGCGTCCTCGTGGCGCGGCAGAGCGCGCGCGCGCTCCAGGCGGCCGCCGCACGCGTCCAGCAGCAGCCGCGTCAGCTCTGTGTGCACTGTGCACTGTGCACTGTGCAGCCACTAGACCTGTGAGTGACGTACAACGTACTACGTACTACGTACTACGTACCGGGCAGGTGGTCGGCCAGCAGCGTGAAGACGCGCAGCGCGTCCTCGTGGCGCGGCAGAGCGCGCGCGCGCTCCAGGCGGCCGCCGCACGCGTCCAGCAGCAGCCGCGTCAGCTCTGTGTGCACTGTGCACTGTGCACTGTGCAGCCACTAGACCTGTGAGTGACGTACAACGTACTACGTACTACGTACTACGTACCGGGCAGGTGGTCGGCCAGCAGCGTGAAGACGCGCAGCGCGTCCTCGTGGCGCGGCAGAGCGCGCGCGCGCTCCAGGCGGCCGCCGCACGCGTCCAGCAGCAGCCGCGTCAGCGCGCTCGCCGTGTGGCACGTGTCTGTGGCAGGCGCACCGCGTCGCACTCGTCAATCATTCGCTCATTTCACCCGGTTCGCGTAAAAGTATTGCCAATTGCAATCACATTGTATGTGCTAGAGCCACACTGCAACTATACAGGTTATTCGGAAGGTCAATACAAAGCCTTGAGGAGGGAACAAACGGGCCACGTTTTTGAGCAGGTCAGCCTAATATCTTAAAATTTCGTGAAAATTATTATTTTGGCAAATATCCCAAAATTTGGTATTCAATCATTCATAACGATTAAACCGGCTGTACTCAGTACCTAAAACCTTGTTTTATGCTAGCTTAATGTGTAGTTCAATCGACAAACACTAATGCCATCAACTGTATACAAATCATTGACTAAATTAGACATGCTGAAAAGTTAGAAATTATAAAGGAAAGTTAAAGCAGCTCTTTTACTATCGCGTTTAAAGAATACAAAAGTAGATTTACATATCATCATCATCATCATCATCATTCAGCCCTTCATAAGTCCACTGCTGAACATAGGCCTCCCCCAAGGAATGCCACAAAGCATGGTCCTGAGCCACCTGCATCCATCGACTTCCTGCATGTCTTACTTGGTTTTAAAATGTTAACTTTAAAGATCAGGAGCGGCTCTGACGCCGTAATGGAGCCTGAACCGCTTCAACTCCAAATCTCCCCAGCCCTCCACTTCGCGGAGTCAGCCTGGGACGTCGTCAGTGAGAGTGACTAAGACCCAACGCGTTGATCTCGCCTTGAGTCGACGGCCTCCGCTGGTTTCGGCCAGGGGTCGGGGAAAGGGAGTTGGGAATGGCAAAGGTAAAGGTATGGTGGGGGTCGAGAGCGGCAGTAAAGGACGTCTTCGTCCTCAGCAGGCGAAAACGTATTAGCATGAGTGGCACCACACTCTAGACTAGACAATGGTCCGAGGAGCCAAGAATGGCGTCGATGGAGACCTGATATCCTTCCGGATGAGGGGTCAACAGAAGGTCCAACAGGGAAGGTGCATGATCTTCCACATCTGGAATCCGCGTAGGCGAAGTAACCAGTTGTGTCAGATCATATGCCAAGGCAAAGTCATAAACAGATCTCCCCGCATGATTGATTAAACGTGAACCGACCCATTCGGCGTGGTGGGCATTAGAATCGCCAAGAATCACGATCTCTGCGGATGGGATTTGCTGCAGCAAGGAATCTGTAGCCATTTGCACGTGATCGACGAGTCGGTCTCTTTCGGCATTACCGCTATGGGACCTATAAAGGCACCCGTAGGCACGCGGGTGGTCGTCGCTGTCTACCCGTAGCCAAAGGATGGACAGGTCGAGAAGAGATGTCCTCTCTGACGTATCGCAAACTCCAACCCGAGTCACAAAGAAGAGTTCCAATTTGTACCCCTTAGGAGAGATACGAAGTATCAGCCGGAGAGGACACCTGCGTCTCGGTCAGAAAGAGCAAGACCGGCTTCGTCGTCTCGAGATGGTAGTAGAAGGCGTTTAGGTTTGAGTGAAGTCCCGTGATGTTGCAGGAATTTACTCTTGTTGTCTTGTTGCTCAGCTTGCACCGAGCAATTAGCGGGTGAGCGTAGTGAGCGAAATTTTGCGTGGAGTAGTTTGGTCGTGAATGCTCAACGAGGGATTCTCCATTATCAGGGATGCTGGTAATTTTCCTAGGGTATTATTACATTTAATTCCGCTACCATGTTGATATGGGGAGGGGGAGGTATAGGGCGTCTCCTCATTCTCCACTGAAGTTTTGAGCGTAAAAATCAACCAAAAACTAACGTGGATATCTGACCTTCTTCTTCTTCACTCTAATGACATACGTAGCTAGTATGTCATAAGGCAAAAATAGCTTTAGGTACGAGGGTGACACTGAAAATTCTTAGAAAATCAAAAACTGAACAAACTAGCACGTAATTGGTTTTATTATATCTTTTCAAAACAGTGTCCATCTTCATATATATCAACACATCTCTGCATCCGATGGAACTACTGAGAAAAGCACTTTGCCCACACGTCCTTAGGGGTCTATTCGACGGTATTTTGAAACGCAACCACTTCTTCCTCGGCGTCCATAAAACGTTTTCCTCGAAGATTTTCTTTTATTTTCGGAAATAAATTAAAATCGCAAGGTGCGAGGTTGGAGCTTGTAGTGTTATGCTACTTACATATATCATTTTACATTATTTTAAATTCATTTTTCCATTCTGTTTCGATTTTCTACATTCACCTCAAAACTGGATATTTTACATCACCTTTATTTCCATAGGATCCTGTAACGATTTTAAACCATAAGAACACAATAACAAATCATTTCTACTTCGTATTTTCACATTATCAGCACTTTTAAATTGGTGTCAATGGAGTCTACGTTTTTTCGATCTTTTAGCTAGTTTTCCGTAATTCTACAATCTCGGGCTTTGTGTGGACAGCTGCGCTACCTTTTTTCCTATATCAATAATATCTCATTTTCCACTTAAATCTTACCGTTTTCTTATTATAAACCAAAAACAAAAATTTGACATGTTTTGTCTTTCTTATTTATATCGTTTCTATGGTAATTATATTCAAATTTGCTACCGATCTGTTATTCCTATTTCGATAATTCCACATAAATCCTCTTTTCTCTTGACCATTTACAAAAAATTTGCGTATAATTTAAATAATTTTTCCGTTCTCTCTAGAAAGGTATAAAAGCCGAACAATCGGTGAAGAAAGGCAGTCTCGCTTCAGTTCGCGAATTAGAAGTATCTCCTAAAGGCTTTATCCCGGGGCCGCACTGCCCCGGGATCCTGCAAGCCTCCATTTACACGTGAAGTCTTCGGCGAAGCCTTCTTCAAACTCGGGCCGCGCCACTCCGGAATCCTACAAGCCTCCATCTACCTCAGAAGTCGCTTCGAGTCTACTACAAGCGCGGGGGCCACACTACTCCGGGCACTACTACTACTTACTCCAGGCGCCGAGTGCACCTACCGCCGGCGCTGCCTTTGGGCGCTGCAACTGCTGGCTCTAAGCGTTGCGCGCCCCTTCTCCAGGCGCTACGTGCGCCGGCTCCGGACGCTGCGTGTACTGGCTCCAGGCGCTGCGCGCCGTCGCTGCTAAGAAACCTACTTCTACAAGCGCAAACGGCGTGTGCTGGCTTCAGGCGCTGCGTGCCGTCGCTGCTAAGAAACCTACTTCTACAAACGCAACGTGTGTCGCTTCGACTTTTAGGCCCCACTTCAACGCTATATTCCCCTATTCTCTCACCTTTATTTTTTTTTATAATCTAATTGTATTCTCACTTCATTCATCATCATCCTCACATCATTTTTTTTATAAAATTGTAAATACCTTTTATAAATTTAAATATATTGTTTTCTGGCTCTACCTTTGTTGTTTTGTTGTATTTAGGTTAGGTTCTATTTTTTTATTTTTTTTTATTGTCGCTTCACGACAAGCTATAAGGCGGGTGGCCCAGTAATTCCACGTCTGACGTCGTCAAGTAGTCGATTGTTTGCTTGGCGGTGTGCGACGAGGCATTGTCGTGGTGAAGGAAGATCCTACTGCGAGGTCGTTTCTCCCGAACTTTTTCCAAAATAAGTGGCAAACAATTGTTAGTGTACCACTCTGCAGTAACTGTTTTTCGATCCTCTAAAACAATTGTTGCGTAATGACCTGTCCTTTCGAAGAACGAAGCCACCATCTTTTTTCCCACGCTTTGACCTCTGTTCGCGCCAAACACTAATTTCAAGAATCGACGCCAGGGGGCGCGCAGAGCGGTGATTTCCTACCGTTTGACGTTCTCGCGAGATCGGATTGGTTGCTTGTGGGGCGGGTCGGAAGTGATTGAATGCAGTGCAGTCACTAGCACGGTGTGAGGTCGTCCGGTATAACCTCCTTTTAGTGTCGGTTTTGTTAGCAAATTTATGCAAAGACGAGGATTTTGTTGAGTCTAGAAAAATAGACGCCGGGTCGATTAAGTATTTGGAATGTAATATTGATTGCGACCAACGTCCGGTTTTTTGATGCGTGTGGAATTTACTATTGGAGTTTTCGCTTCTAATTTGGTTATCTTGCGCGTTCACGCGATGACGAAGCAGTAACAATTTGATTGATTAACCTAAATTCGTTGGCAAGTAATTTACGTAAATTGTATAGTGATTGCCGGTTGACGTGCTTGACAATAATACTTTGCGTCGTGTAGTTGCTTTGTGGCATTGGATGTAACTCGGAGATATTGTGTCGACTAAAATGCCAAAATTTGTGACCCTAAGTGTGCTAAAATGTGTGTTTGTATTAGATTATAGATTTGTGCTAAGGAACTCTGAACGTTGTGACTAGAGAAGGGATCGCGTTTTTGCTCTTGGTTATAATCTTGCCACGTGAAACGGAAGTGACCTTTGATCCGCCCGTTGGTTATTCGTGCCACGTGTTACGTTGTTGATTACGATTAACGGGGATTTAGTTGAGTTGGAAGTTAATTAAATGTACAATAAAGTTGATGGATTGAAATAGTGTACAATAATGTTGATAAACTGAAATAGTGAAATGAAGACAGAAGTCGTCAATTGGTGATCGCCCCCTTTTGGGAGATCTCACCTCAGGAGTAAAAGCAGCGCCTGTGGATCTGCGGTCAGACTTCAACGGTCCAGTCAGATCGAACTTTATACACACCACTAAATACCACTTTACATGCACCTACACCTACCTACGGCCTGACCGAGCCTTGGGTCAGTCTTCGCCTCGGAACCAGGTACGTCCTATTTATTTACCTAGCCTATCTCTATTGTGTAGGTCAATTGTCCATAGGCCGTTGGGCCCCGTCCCCTGCTGCTCGTCGAATCTACAGCTGTATCGGCCCCTGTATGGTCGATCTTTGTTGGGGCAGCTAGGGGCGTGTACAACCTCTCTTCACTTTAGTTGGCAACTCCTCGTAAGGAAACACCCAGACAGCAGACTGTCTCTTAGTTTCAGGATCATAACAATAAATCCAGCTTTTAACACCCGTAAGTATGTCGAACATAGCATTTGAGTCACCACCGTTAAATCTTTGAACCATTTCACGACACCAATCAACACGACGGAGTTTTTGGGCTTCTGTCAAATTATGAGGAATCCACCGGGCACACAGCTTCCTGACCGCTAAATGTTCATGGAGGATTTTGTACACTTGACTCATACCAATGCCTAAGCTTGCCAGAATCTGCTGATGACTCACTCTTTTATCAGTCTCTATCTTACGCCCCACAACACTGATGTTATCTTCAGTCGTCGCCGTAGAAGGCCGTCCCTTACGCAGATCATCGGTGAGATTAGTGCGACCATGTTTTTACTCATTAAACCTGTTGTAAACAGTGGCACGAGATGGGGCTTCATCGTGAAAGGCCAATCGAAATCTATCATAACTTTCTTGTTGACTTAAATGACATCGAAAGTCATAAAAAATTATTGTACGAAAATTTTCTCGCGTTAAATTCATGCTGACGTGACACAGACAATTTTCAATAAGCCACCAAATCGTAAACAAATGACAATTTAATAAAATACATACACAATAATATTGGCAAGGAGTTCAATTTTCAAAATTTTAACTTATATTTTTATTTTATCGTATACAAGTGGCCAGTTCTAAAAACTTTCAGTATCGCCCTCGTATGTGCAGTAACGTGGAACTCTTATCTTAGCAGCTTATATCATGAGGCTAAAATTTGCTATCGTATGGTAGGGAACAATAGGGGCTCTCATATGGCTGTACAGCAACGTAGTGGGACCAATTTTTACTTACGCTTCCATTGTCTGGTGTAATAAGGCCAACAAAAAGACGACTCCAGACAGACTAAATTGTCTACAAAAGACTACCCGTTTAATGACAACTTCAGCGATGCGATCATCGCCTGGAGCGGCTCTTAATGCACTTATATGCCTAACGCCTCTTGATCTTTAGTTATACAAGGAGGCAAGGGCTAGTTTGTATAGAATTAACGCTCACGGCACGGCGACTCAATAAAGGAAACACCGATCTTATGCATGACCGCAGATATCGTCCACTATACACTTTTGATAAAAATTACATGGTGGAACTACCCTCCAGAGAAGACTAGCTGAATGGACAAATATGAGCCTCGACGTAGGCTTTGGAATTTATAGGAAACGCCCCAAATTCAAACTTAGAATGAATTTTGGTGAATTCACCTCTATCTTTTCAGAAATTTTCGCCATACTTCGGTGTGCTGAAATCAACCTGCAAAAATACTACGTCGACCTATATAAACTACACTAATCTATAATCTATATAAACTCATAAAAGTATACTATAAAGTCAAGCAGCACTGCTAGCGCTGAGATCAAACTTAGTGAACTTGAAGCTAGTTGGAGACTGCGTGAACCGTAACCGTAAACACAGCTTTTTACTAATTTCATATGAAAGTATGTACGATACTTATAAAAAAACTACAATTTTAAAATTTTTGTCTGTCTGTCTATTTGTTCCAGCTTATCTCCGAAACGGCGGCACCGGGACTTTCACTGGCAGATAGCTGATTTCATAAGGAGTAAGTTAGGTTACTTTTATTTTAGAAAAAGAATTAGGGTTCCGCGCAAAAAAATAAAACTCTAAATATAAACACAGGCGAAGTCGCGGGGAACAGCTAATTTGAAATAAGTTTCTAAGGAAATGACAGGTGATATGTTACAAAAATGTTTTAAAAAACTCACCAGTATACAGAAGCGAATCTTTTTCTATACGAATTTGCAAGGCCCAGGTCCAAAGGTCTATGCAACGCTGGTAGCGGAACGCGTCAGCATACGATGCTCCTCTTCACGGATTTGAAACAAATATTTATAATTAAAATATATAATAACCTAGTAAATAAATATAGAGTTAAAATAAGAAGGATTAAAAGTAATAATCCTTTTTATGGGAGATGCCTATCTCTAACAGTGGGATACTCATATATGAGAGTTACAATGCGAGAAATAGCGGTGTGGTGGCGACAAACGAGAATCCTTTACCACATTATGTGAGCGTGTTATAGGCAATGACTTCTATGGATACTGCTAGACTGGTAATTCAGAACAAAAACTGGGTCTCTGTGGCTGTACAAGCGCGGGTGTGGAAGGAACACGGTGTCCTTGTGCGCGGGGCCCAGCAGCGCCACCGTGCGCGACTGTACTCGGGCGCACCTGTACATGAGGCGGAACACGGTGTCCTTGTGCGCGGGGCCCAGCAGCGCCACCGTGCGCGACTGTACTCGGGCGCACCTGTACATGAGGCGGAACACGGTGTCCTTGTGCGCGGGGCCCAGCAGCGCCACCGTGCGCGACTGTACTCGGGCGCACCTGTACATGAGGCGGAACACGGTGTCCTTGTGCGCGGGGCCCAGCAGCGCCACCGTGCGCGACTGTACTCGGGCGCACCTGTACATGAGGCGGAACACGGTGTCCTTGTGCGCGGGGCCCAGCAGCGCCACCGTGCGCGACTGTACTCGGGCGCACCTGTACATGAGGCGGAACACGGTGTCCTTGTGCGCGGGGCCCAGCAGCGCCACCGTGCGCGACTGTACTCGGGCGCACCTGTACATGAGGCGGAACACGGTGTCCTTGTGCGCGGGGCCCAGCACGCGCTCGGCGACGAGCAGCGCCTGCGTGCGCAGCGCGTCCATGTCCGCGGCGGCGGCCTCCAGCGCGGCGGCCGAGCGCCACCGTGCGCGACTGTACTCGGGCGCACCTGTACATGAGGCGGAACACGGTGTCCTTGTGCGCGGGGCCCAGCAGCGCCACCGTGCGCGACTGTACTCGGGCGCACCTGTACATGAGGCGGAACACGGTGTCCTTGTGCGCGGGGCCCAGCACGCGCTCGGCGACGAGCAGCGCCTGCGTGCGCAGCGCGTCCATGTCCGCGGCGGCGGCCTCCAGCGCGGCGGCCGAGCGCCACCGTGCGCGACTGTACTCGGGCGCACCTGTACATGAGGCGGAACACGGTGTCCTTGTGCGCGGGGCCCAGCAGCGCCACCGTGCGCGACTGTACTCGGGCGCACCTGTACATGAGGCGGAACACGGTGTCCTTGTGCGCGGGGCCCAGCAGCGCCACCGTGCGCGACTGTACTCGGGCGCACCTGTACATGAGGCGGAACACGGTGTCCTTGTGCGCGGGGCCCAGCACGCGCTCGGCGACGAGCAGCGCCTGCGTGCGCAGCGCGTCCATGTCCGCGGCGGCGGCCTCCAGCGCGGCGGCCGAGCGCCACCGTGCGCGACTGTACTCGGGCGCACCTGTACATGAGGCGGAACACGGTGTCCTTGTGCGCGGGGCCCAGCAGCGCCACCGTGCGCGACTGTACTCGGGCGCACCTGTACATGAGGCGGAACACGGTGTCCTTGTGCGCGGGGCCCAGCACGCGCTCGGCGACGAGCAGCGCCTGCGTGCGCAGCGCGTCCATGTCCGCGGCGGCGGCCTCCAGCGCGGCGGCCGAGCGCCACCGTGCGCGACTGTACTCGGGCGCACCTGTACATGAGGCGGAACACGGTGTCCTTGTGCGCGGGGCCCAGCACGCGCTCGGCGACGAGCAGCGCCTGCGTGCGCAGCGCGTCCATGTCCGCGGCGGCGGCCTCCAGCGCGGCGGCCGAGCGCCACTCGCGCGCGCCGCCCAGCGCCGGCTGCGGGGCGCGCGCCGGCCGCTTCTCGATGTACGCGCCGTACGCGTGCCGGATCGCTGCCACACACCGTTGAGCCCGATCAGTGCTAACAATCTTACGCTCACCAGGTGTCGAAACTTGGGACTAAGTTGAGCTTCCTTATTACGTCATTTATACATAACACTAAGTCACCATACATGTAAAATTGAGTTTTAAATTCTTAAAGAAAATCAGTTTCAAGTACAGAACAATAACTCAGTGCTGTGTTCTTTAAATTTTTTCACAGTTTTAACTTTTTGAACTCTCAGCAGCTCGTGCGTACGCGTGTGTGAGCGTGTGTGCGCGTATGTGCGCGTTATGCGCATGTTTGCGCGTGTGTGCGTGTGTGCGCGTGTATGCGCGCGTGTGCGTGTATGCGCGTGTGTTAGCGTTAGCGCATGTGCGCGCGTGTAAGCGCGTATGTGCGCGTGTGTGTGCGTGTGTGCGCATGTGTGTGCACGTGTGTGCGTGTCTGCGCATGTGTGCACGTGTGTGCGCTTGTGTGCTCGTGTGTGCGCGTGTGTGCGGGTGTGTGTGCGTGTGATCGCGTGTGTGTGCGCGTGTGTTCCCGTGTATGCGCGTATTTGTGCGTGTGTGTGCGTGTATGTGCGTGTCTGAGCGTGTGTGTGCGTGTGTGTGTGTGCGTGTGTGTGTGTGTGTGTGTGTGTGTGTGTGTGTGTGTGTGTGTGCGTGTGCGAGTGTGTGCGCGTACCTGTGGCGCGGCGCCAGGAGGCGAGCGCGGCGGCCACATCGTTGAACTCGTCGAGCTGCGTGGCGCCCAGCAGCTCGTGCGCGTCCGCAATGCGCGCCGGGCTGTAGCTCACCGTCGAGCATAGCAGGTTTACAATCTGCACCCGTAAAAATATCAATCATGTATCGCATACAATACGCTTATATTTATTTTTAAATACTAGCAATACCAACATCAACATTACTAATATTTCATTTAACTACTCCTGGTTAGACAAGTCCCCGGGCGAGGATGGAATTACAGCGGAGTTTCTGAAAGCGGGTGGAAAACCGGTACTTGAAGTCCTTCAGAAGCTCTTTAATTCTGCTCTCCACGGTGGCACTACACCTGAGGCGTGGAACAGAAGTGAGGTGGTCTTGTTCGTCAAGAAAGGCGACAACGCTCTCTTAAAGAACTACAGACGGATTTCCCTTCGCGCGAGGCGAGCAGCGGGTCGGCGCCGTGCTGCAGCAGCAGGCGCGCGCTCTCGAGGCGGTGCTCCTGGTGTGCGTGTGTGTCTGTCAGACTCTCTCACTTTCTCTCTCTCTCTCTCTCTCTCTCTCGTGCGTGCGTGTGTCACCTGCGCGGCGCCCTTGAGGCAGGCGGTGCGCAGCGCGTCGTCGCCGGCGCGCGAGGCGAGCAGCGGGTCGGCGCCGTGCTGCAGCAGCAAGCGTGCGCTCTCCAGGCGGTGCTCCTGGATAGCGTAGTGCAGCGCCGTCTTCAGCTGCATGTCACGCGCGTCCACCTGCGACCGACCACACCCACCCTTACTGCCTACAACTTATCCTCATACCTTACACTACATAAAATCTCAACAGCTCTCTGGTCGCAGTTGCTTAGCAATGAGTTACGGCGCTGAGGACCGCGTGTTCGTATCCCGCACGGAACAAGAACAAGTATTTCTCTGGCCTATGAGTAATTTTACCTTCTGGATGTTTGTCCTTGTGCAATTTATGTATGTAAATTGCCTCTACGAAACAGGAGATATTGCTAGTGTTTAGGCCAAAAATGGTAATTTTGAGACGGCATCCAATCACGTTCGACTTAGTGAATCGCCCGATGGTACCAGGTGTCACGCGTGTCGCGGGGAGGGGGCAGCGGAAGGCAGCTTCCCAGCGTTTGGCGCTGTCGGGCGAGAGACAGTAGCTCGGGCAGCGGTACAGTTAATTAGCGTATCTCGGTTACCGCTGCAGAAGTTACACGCGACCGGTTTTGGTTTATGGTCTAGATATTTAGAATTTGTGCGTGTTACTTCGCTACGTAATTGTGGTTTCGTAAAAACCGCCTCGGTTTAGTTTGTCTAGGTTTTAAGTTCGTGACAAGAGGCTTGTATTGTATTTGACTGATTAAAGTAATTTCGTTTTTAACGCTGAACCGTGTGACTCAGAGTTGTAGTTAGTTAAATGTACAATAAAGTTAATAGACTGAAATAGTGACAATGAAGAAAGAAACTGTCCACTGTGGACGCCTGCTGGAGTGATGCAGCATTGTGGGACAGCATGGAAACCGGCCGCTGCCAGGTCACCTCAGCTGGGTCAGGTCACCCACATATACACACCACTAAACACTACTTTACATGCATCTACTCTACCTACGGCCTGACCGAGCCTTGGGGCGGTCTTAGATTCAGATACAGGTACGTACTGTTTATTTTCCTAGCCTTCTCCCTATTGTGTAGTATGATAGGTCATTTTTCCATAAGGCCACTTGGGCCCGAACCCTCGGCTGCCCGTCAAGGAGGCTACTATGGGTCCTAGCTAAGGCGATCTTTGCAGGGGCAGCTGTGGGCCGTAACAGCTAGTGTAACTTTTTTTAAACGACAAATAAAAACAGAACCAACTAAAGTCTGCTCTTTCTGCTCTAGTTACGTTCTATTTCCTCAGTTTATTTCAGCCGTCCTCTTCATACGGAAGAAAAGCTCTACAATTTATATCAATACTTTACATCTTTCACTTCTTCAATGTTCCAATCATTTCGTGAACGAGCGACAGTAGGAATCGATCAAAATAGACGAAGGTATATGAGCTAAAAAATAAAAGATCATATAATCATGGTAATTATAAAATATTTTAAAAAGTGTGCTCCAAAGCCAAGGCTTTACATTTTAACAATTATAATTGCCTCTAATAAAATTAAAATAACGCGGAGAGACCGGGTACAAAAGTAACATTTTGTACTTTTATCTTGGTTTTTGGTTAGGTGTAATTATTTTAATGAAATGAATATAGCCACATATACATTCCGTTTATGTTCTTTACATTAGTATCTTGATTTAACTTATTATTGTGTATTTTATATTGAGAAATAAAAGACGTCCTTGCGTAACGGCATTTATCGCAATCTAACGTGGCGGGTGCAACTGCCTACCTACATAGAAAAATATATACATGCACATACTTATATTGTACGATCTACCGACATACATTACATATATAAATCACAGACTTCAACAAAATTGTCAGTTGTTACTTTCGACCACATAGGCAGGCCAAAAGTAATACATTGTGGGTCGAAAGTAACAGGACAAAGGGGCTTGTAATGAATATAATGTGACATATTAAATCAGCAAATGATTTATTAGAAGACTGTATTTATAACACAGATAAACATTTGCATTTTAAATGCTCAAACATTATATATTTTAAGAAATCAAAACAGATTTTTCTTACTTTAAGTAATGAGATCAATTATTATATGATAATATTTTTTTTATAATCAGACTATACTATATGGATCTTTGATTGTATAATTTCTTTAACAAATCATTGCTAACTGTATGCTGGACAGTCTGGTCACCTGATGTTGGAAGATTATCAACTGCTATCGCCGGATGAACTTGGATGCATCAAAACTGGTCAACAGATCATTTGGTGGAATTTCACTGTTAGCTTGTAAAGGCCGGTCAGTGACAGATGATGGTGCATTGTCAACAGCAGTAAATATATTCCTATTAAATGAACCTATACCGGTGCAAGTAAATCCGGCAATTGCATTTCGATCATTGACAGAAAGAGGAAATGCTTCTCTAACAATCCCAGGATTGTAATGGATAGTCATTGTTAGACCAGGATAATTCCGCATCCAGTTGTCCTTAGCGGTGTTTATCATTTTTTGAATGATCCAAATAGTGCTCTATCTAAAGGATGAAGCTGCGTGCAATGGGGCGGAAACGACAGCAGTACTATTCCATTTTTTTTTTCACAAAAATCTAGAGCTTGTATAGATACACGCAATGCATGGTTGTCGACTAGTAACAAGCATTTTTGATCAACAGTTGGCTTGACATGTCTTATGAAGTGTTCTGGAAACAGTGAAAATTCTGCTCCCTACATCCGGTGCAGGTGTAGGCCATTAGCATTGCCAGCTCCGGCACTACCAACAGGACCTTCACCTATCATGTGGTCTTGGCATCGCTTCAACGGGAATACAATAAAAGGAGATATGTGTCCTACTTGAACATTAATCACAACAGCAACAGTTACTAATCTCCCACGTTCTGCTGAGGTTACTGCGCCTATTTGTCTAATTCCTTTTAGAGCTAAAATCTTACTAGGTTTTTGGGTAGTGGTCACCCCTGTCTCATTTATATTCCAGATATCTTTTAGTTCAAATTTAAACCTAACCATTACGTAAGCAAGGTTATCAAAAAACTTACTCACATTATGTTCGTTGAATCTCAAGGCCCGTGACAGGTTTGTTGGTTGAAAACTCGTCCACCATTCCTTACCCGCCATTTGAGTATCGTCCCACTTTTGAGGAAATATTTTTCCATTTTTTATCGCCAACTCATATGCTAGTTTACGTACTTTAGATGGAGATAACCCAAAATAAACTCTAGAGCACTTGATTAAATAGTCCTGTAGACATTTTTCCTCCTTAATAGTAAATACACGGTTAACGCAACGGTAGCTCACAACTACGCTAATATTTTCTGCTCTATTTTTTTATGTATCTATATAATGTAAATATTTATATTACACATTACGCATCTTATTTTTTTAACGATTGCTACATTTTAAACAAATTGGCGATGTTACTTGCTGTATTTAAACACATTCATATACTTTTTATTAATATTATTTATTCACCACCACACTTTAGGTGCGTATTCATACTTCATTTTATGTTATGGTATGTTACTTTCGTCGCTATTTCCGTGTTTTTGTATGATTTTAATGATGGCTGTTGAAATTTACTATCAAAATGTACGTGGTCTGCGAACAAAGGCATCAACTTTTCTGAGGAATGTATGTATTAACAATTATGATGTTATATGCTTGACGGAGACGTGGCTTAACGATGACTTTTGTAATAACGAGCTCTTTGATGACCGTTATGTTGTTTGGAGACGTGATGGAAACTACAGTGTTACAAATCAAACGTTGGGAGGTGGTGTGCTTATTGCTGTTAGGCGTGAGCTTGCAGTGAAGGAGCGGGTCGACTGGCGTTCTTCTGCCGAAGACATATGGGTATCGTTAACTCTTCAACGTTCCAAACCGAAAATGACATATAAATTACATATTTGTATGATTTACTTATGCAGACAAAATCTGGGTAACTCGTTATCTGCACAGTTAGCTTGTTTTTATACAAAATTATACGACATAGTAACCACCAATCTAACTGATGCTTTCGTCATTTTGGGAGATTTTAATCTGCCAAATATATCTTGGACTCTTGAAGATGATGGATACTCTCTGTGTCGAGAAAATATTGAGGGGTCCGTTCAGTACGATTTTTTTGACACCTTAAGTACGTGTAATCTGCAGCAATATATCTCTCATACCAATGTTAACAACAGAATCCTCGACTTAATATTTTGTAATAATCACTTATCCGGAACAAAATGTACCGACCCTTTAGTGACTGAAGACCCTCATCATGTGGCTCTCAGTGTCTTAGCCGATTTTGACTAAGTTTATGTACCATTTAGCTGATTTCTCCTCTATATCACAAGAGCTTGATAATTTTACACTCACGATCTTTTTAGGGGCACAGTGGACGATGCATTGTCACTATTGTACACTCGATTAAACAACTTGTGCGGCACTTACATACCAACAAAAGTAGTAAAATCATCTTCTAAATATCCCCCCTGGTATAAAACCCCTCTTATAAAAATATTAAAGGAAAAGTTTAAATATCACACCAAATATAAAAATATGGCAATTTAGCAGACTATGAGTCTTTCTTAATATTACGTAATCGCGCCAAACAATTAGAATCCAAAATGTTCAACAATTATATAGAAAAGGTAGAACTTCCAAGAAGTAGAAGCCAAGGACCTTCTGGTCCTTCGTGAAATATAAAAAAGCGTCAAACGCTTGTCCATCTACAATGAAATATGAACACATATCATCAGACTAAGGGGATATTATTTGTAATATGTTTAGCGATTTTTTTAATGGTAATTTTCACCAAATTCGCAGTAACTATGACACCCGATACGAACCCGATAATTGGCGATCACAGATTGTGTCGGGTATAAACTCGATACAAGTTAGCGAAACTGAAGTCTTAAAGCTCTTAAATTCTATTGACCTGAATAAAACTGCAGGTCCAGATGGTATACCACCCATTCTTATAAGTAAGTGTGCTAAAAGCTTGACTATACCGTTAACAATAATATACAGACGTTCGCTTAAGGAAAGAATAGTACCGCTTACTTGGAAATCTGCATTTATTACCCCCATTCATAAAAAAGGCCCAAATGACCGTGTAGAAAACTATAGGCCAATATCCAAACTCTGTTTATTCACCAAAATCTTTGAGAAAATCGTATACTCGTCTGTATATCATGGCATCAAACAAACACTCAGTGATTATCAACACGGCTTTTTAAAAAATAGATCCACTGTTTCGAACCTTATTGTCTGTTCTGACTATTTAACTACCATCATGTCTGAGCGCTTACATGTGGACGTAGTCTACACTGATTACAGTAAAGCGTTCGACCGCTTAGATCACGTTATACTTCTCAGCAAACTACTCGAAGTAGGTATCAGCGGCGATCTGTTTAGGTGGTTTAGGTCTTATATTGAGAATCGTTGTCAGACAGTAGTACTCAATGGTTACACGTCAGCAACTGTGCAAATCCCTTCAGGTAAACCACAGGGATCGCTATTAGGTCCATTGCTGTTTGCGATTTTTATAAATGATATAGGTTCCTGTTTTACTTACTCCAAAATAATCCTATACGCTGATGACATGAAAATTTTATGCCCCATCACAAATACTTCTGATTGCTTTGGTCTGCAGCGTGATCTCAATGAACTAGAATGATATTGTTCACACAACAAACTTGTCTTGAATGTGTCCAAGTGTTTTATCCTTACATTTACTCGTAAAACCAATCCCATTGTCTTTCACTACAAATTACAAGACACTAGTATAGAGAGATTACAATTAGTAAAGGATCTTGGTGCATTTTTCGATTCTAAATTACTCTTTGATGCACATATTGAGAATATGATTAAAAAAGCCAATAGAGCACTTCGATTCCTTTTGAGATTTTCCACCGATTTTCATAATATTAAAACATATAAGATACTTTATTGCGCTCTTGTTCGCAGCCATTTAGTGTACGCCTCTCAAGTGTGGAACCCAAACTATAACATTTATATAGATAGGATTGAGCAAGTACAAAAGCGTTTTCTACGTTTTCTGCAATTTAAAACGCAATTTTACACTGATAACTACATTTCGCGATGTAAAAAATTTCATATTTTGCCTCTGCACGAACGTAGGCGCATAGCAGATATGATTTATCTTTTCAAATTGGCAAATGGTAATGTTGACTGTCCGGAGCTACTGAGTAAGCTAGGATTTACAACAAGAGGTACCCTTTTAAGAAAACCTCGCTTACTTCACGTGCCGCATACCCGGAATAAATACAGGCAAAATTCTTTTATGATACGTGCATGCAGAACTTTTAATAACATTTCCAATAGCGTTGACTTGGATCTGTTTAATACCAGTGTTTCTCAATTAAAAAATATTTTAGCGCAAAAATTCTTTTGTTGAGTGTTCTTCTGTTTAATTTTGTTAATTTACTGTATTTGTCTTAATCGATGTTTATCTTTTACCGACTAGAATTATTGTTTTTAAGTTCATATTGCTTATAGGTGAAAACTTTTAAATGGCCTTCTAGTTGTTATTCATTTATTTATTGTTAATGTTAGCTGTAAGTTTTCCAAAAAGAATAAAATAAAATAAAATAAAAATAATGTTACATGACAAACATATTTTTTTGCCAGAGATCTAATTTTTGTATCATCTCTGGAATGCTCTTCAGCCATTTTTCGGTACAGTTCCGTGTCAGTAGTTCCTTGTGTGATAGTTCTAATGTGTTGTCATGGCATTCTGGTCAAATAAACACACACATAACAATTTTAAGTAATTAAATTAATACGGGGACAAAAGTAATATTTTACTTTTGTACCCATAGGGCTATGTTACTTTTATACCCGACCACATTTTTGTTAAAACATGAAAGATAAGCTTAAAACGGAACGGACTAGACAAAAACGAAATAAAACACTGTGTAGACAATCTAATCAAGAACTAATACGCAAATATTCAGATTGGTATCATCCTTTTAAGACTACGAAAACATTAAATAAGAAAACGTCAAAAAACTTACTTTTGATTTGTCAAATCACATAGCATCCTCCCACACAACCTAACATCGCGTGGCGCGCGCCGCGATTGAATGCAAATGAGGAGGCTGCCAGCGGCTATCACCTTACGGCAGCTGAACGGTGTTTGGCTATTGGATAAACCTTCAGAGCATTTGTTACTTTCGACCTACCGTTACTTTTGTAGCCGGCCTCCCCTATACTTAATATCGAAACAGGCAAAGTCAAAACATGCATGTCAGATTTTCAATTAAATCTTAACAATAATTTGTCTAAATCTGGTCAAGAAGTTGCTGCGGCTTTTAAGAAATATTTCACTAATACTGCTTTTCTAAAACAAAAAAAATCAACTAAATTACTGTTGCCGAATCAGTGTTTAATAAAATATAAAATCTGGTTCAAAAACTTTTGAATCCCATAAATTATTACCAACAAATATCGTTTATTATATTGTGTTTATATCGTGAAACTATTACGTTAAGAAAGCTGCGGACTTATGGGACATTTCCGTTAGTTATTGCATCCATAATAGATACAATTGCCATTATTTTTAATACAAGCATCGAATCATAAAACAAGTTGAGAATCACCCAATAATTCAGTATAAGCTTAGTCTGTGAGGCATTCCCTCTTATTTCACAGATGCGACAACGCGTTGTCTTTTTTTTTGTTTGAATAATTCTAATGTAATTTTTGATCCTATCGACGCAGAATGAGAAATTAATAATTTTAATCCGAAGGTAGCCGTGGTTAACTATGACATTGAGACGTCGAACACCTCAGTCCCCCCGTCACCATAGGTGGTGTAAAATACTCGAAACGGCGCGTATACAAAAGTTAGTATAAGCTATAAAATCCGTAAAAAATAGTTTTATTTAAATGTGTTGTGTTTGCGTAAACATTAGAAATCATTATACATACCTCGGCACCATGCTCAAGGAGAAAGGTACACAGCCGTACAGACTGAACAGAATTGATCAAGCATGTTCCGCCGTTGTGGTTGGGTTTGTGTATGTCCGCGCCGCGTTCCACCAGGAATTTGACCACGTCGAAGTGCGTCATGAAGCAGGCCGAGCGCACGGGAGTGGAGCCGCTATCGCTCCCGGCGTTCAGATCCGCACCAGCGTCCGCGAGAACGCGGAGCACCTTCATTGGCAAATGAACAAAATGTAACTTATTTTTATTTATAGAACATGGGTGACAGAGGAGCACACATTCCATCTGATAGTAAGTAAATACTGTGGCCCATAAACATCCACATATATCCTCATGCAAATGCGTTGTCACCCCTGAGGACTAAAGATGGCATGTCTCCTTTCCATAAAATGGGTCTCCGGTTCTCTACTCTCACCATACGAAATAGCAGCATTATATAACTGTGTAAACATCACATCCTGCATGGAGAACCCACACCACGGGATGGTCGGCGGTGTGTTCCCCCATCCTCAGAGTCGAGTTGGATGCAAAGAGAGAACCTAGCAGATCGACTTTCTCATTTACGCCATGGGCCAGTGAGTCATCCTCCCCGTGCAGAGATGGCTGACAGAAGTTCCCTTAGACAGCGTTGGCGAGAGACCAGAATACACGTGTTCTCGAAAGAAGTCGAACTAGTTTCTCGCCAATTCTATCGATTTGCTCTGACTTTGCCTTGGCAATGACACTTTTGAAGGACCTGGAGGCGGAATTACACTTTATTTTTAAGAGTGCTGGTATTTGCATCCCGAGACGTAGATGCATCAGCCCAGGCTCGGTAGCACTCCTGCTTATGGCGTGATGCAATTTACAAGAGTGACCATGACTGAGTTCTGTCTCCGATAGGTAGGCACCACAGATGATCAAATAAACAGTTTCATTCTCTGAAGTACCACATCAGCGACAGAACCAGCAACAACGTTGAGATCATCCGACGAGAAGCAAACCCAAGTTTAATGCAAAAAAGACCGCATTCCGTTCCAATCCGCCGACCTATAGTGCCAAACACGGCGGCAACCTGCAGAATACAACCACGATGCGAGCGTGAGTGGCATCGTACTCCGGATCAGGCAATGGTCCGAAGAGCCAAGTGGTGCATTGACGCAGACCTGATATCTGTGTGGACGAGATATCAGCAGAAGGTCTAACAGGGAAGGTAAATGATCCTCCACATCTGGAATCCGCGTAGGCGAAGTAACCAGTTTCGTCAGACCATATGCCAAGGCAAGGTCATAAACATATCTAGCCGCACTATCAATTAAACGGGAACCAAGCCAATCAGCGTGGTGGGCGTTGAAATCACCGAGCATCATGATAACTGCGGATGGGAACTGTTGTAGCACGGATTCTGCAGCCATTTGGACGTGGTCGATGAGTTGGTCTGTGTCGGTATTACCGCTATGGGACCTAGAGAGCCACCCGTAGACGCGGGGATGGTCGTCTCTGTCTACGCGTAGCCATAGGATGGACAGGTTCGTACCTTAAAGAGTGCCGAGGATGTCCTCTCTGACGTAAACGCAAACTCCAGCCCGGGGCAGAAAGCAATGTCCTAAGTTGTACAACGGGTAGAGATACGAAGTATCCGCAGGAGAGGACACCTGTGTCTCAGTTAGAAAGAGCAAGGCCGACTTCGCGGTGTCCAGATAATAGTGGATGTCGTTTAGGTTTTAGTGAAGTCCTCTGATGTTGCAGAAATTCCGGATAGCGTTGCAGGGGTTGTCTTTGTCTTATTTCTCGCTTGCCCGTTGCAGTTTTAGTATTGAGTTTTACCAGGTGAAACACAGAATTAAACTTCTACTTCACGCTGGTATTCTGTCGAGGTCGTGGTACATCCCCGGTTCGAGCCGACCCATCCTTGCGACTGCAAAAGCTGCCGCGTGGCTGTACCACTGTTAACTTTGTGCTCGTTTAGTCACCCTTATTCTAAAAAAATAAGGGAGCCTTACAATAGTTCCATATGATGTGTAACATCTGATATCTCACCTTTGTAATAAGCAACATTAACATCGTATCTTGAAAAAAACCATTTGTTATTTTTTATCATAATTAAAAATATTAATTAATAATTTAAATATTTTATCAATGCAAATGAGTTCAGGTATGTTCAGCACTGAACATTGCAACGCAGCAGCCCAGTGACCGCGTTACCAAAACTCACGGACACTAACAGTTGTTGCTGAGTAAACTTACCGTGTAATGTAAAGGAGAAGGAGTCGTCTCCATACATTCTTGGGCCCAAGTGTTAACAAGATGAAAGTATGACCATTTGAAAGCGTATATATAAACAATTCATAGCTGAAAATCTGGCAAGATTTGTCAATCTAGGAGCTGAGTTATTGTAGAATAAGTAAAAGTCAGATTATGTACACTGTAACAGGTGATTTTTCGCTGTTATTACACTGTAACAGGCTATTTTTCACTATAATTACTTAAAGATATAAAAGCAGGATCAGTATAAAATCACCCAAAAAAGTTGTGGTTGAAACGAAAACGAAAGTTAAAACAACAACTAAGTGAAGTGATTTTTAGGGATATTGGATCTGAGATCGATTACTTGAATTGTTGTTGTAACTGTTACTTGTTGGAATTTTGATATTTTGTATTTTTTATTATTATTTTGTAGATATGTACGCAATTTTTTTTATCTCCCTAGTTAACACAAAAAAATAATCGAAAGTAGATATTAAAATGCTCAATTTAATCGAGAATCAATTATATTGCGCTAGTTTCAAATCGAATCGAAAATCTGTCTTTTTCTTTTAAGTAAATAGTTTGAAGTTTGAACTGTCAAGACAAATTTCAAAATGAGAAGTCCTCAATTGGAAGATAACGTTCAGAAACGAGAACTTCACTAGTGTATTCTTTATGGTAATCGATTTATTGCTATAAATAATACACTACAATCGATTTTCTAACTTATTTCTTATTTTATTGTTTTTTCCAAATCTAGATTGTAAAAAGAGTTAACTTCAGGCCCAAAAATCCCATTCTACTTTCTATTTGTATTAAATAGTAACTTATTGTGAACAAAATCCTCTTTCAACGCTTGGCCATTTCTTCGTTACTACCGCAGACTTGTGGTAAGGTATCCCTCTCACTGCGGCCAAGACACCTTAAGCCGTCAGAAACCCTGATCAGTCTTGTGAGTCTGCTTGACTGGCATGGAGAGAATCCCATCACCTAACCCTGATATCTTATACATAAAAAATATAAAAGAAGTAAATTACGTAGTGATTATGAAGTGTTCGCTCAGTGTAGAACAAAAGTAGAGGCAGAGATTGCACTAGCTCACGAAACTTATCAAAATCGCATACAGAACCGTCTAAAACACGTTTCTAGTATGGGAGCCCATTTTAATTTTTAATTTTTTTTTTATTTATTTTTATTTTTGTTATGGCGGCAACAGAAATACAATTTCTGTGAAAATTTCAACTGTCTACCTATTACGGATCATGAAATACAACCCACTGAGAGACAGACAGACAGATAGACGGACGGACGGACAGCGCAGGTTTAATAATAGGGTCTCGTTGCTTACCCTTTAGGTATGGAACCCTACAAATGGACGAGTCCTATCGAACCAGGAATGCGCTGACAAGTTCGCACATTTCTTTCATTACGCGTACAACCAAAAACCACTCGCTGCTGTACTAGACGTGTCAGCAGCGAGCACGGCTTCGACAAGGAGCGCATGGACGCATCACGCGGCTCTACAGCCGGCGGAAGTGCGCCGCGCGCTCTCCCAACTAATTCCGAAGCGCTCGGCAGGACCGGACGGTATACCACCGTTCATTTTATTAGGAATTGTCGCTTTGGTCTGGTGGAACCGTTACTAAATTTGTTTAGTACCTGCCTTCGAGACCGAAACCTCTCCTAATATGTGGAAGCATACTCGAGTCGTATTAATGCCGAAAGGTCGTGGAGATCCGGAACCTAGTGACTACAGACCTGAATTGGCCATTCACCACTCCTTGTACATGCAGGTAAAAACTCATGTCTGACGCGCAACATGGCTTTCGCTCTGGTTGGAATACAACGGGGAACTCGCTGCATTTAATGTCACAAGTAGTTGATACAGGGATACAGGTTGATGTGGCCTATATCGATTATCGGAAGGCATTTCACACGGTCGATAATGGTATCCTGATGGAGAAGTTGGTCGGAGTAGGCTGCACACCACACATTTTGAAGTTTTTCGATAGCTACTTGCAAGACAGACGTCTGTAGGTTAACTATGGCGGGTTCTACTCTGAGCAGTACTTTACAAGGTCAGGGGTCAATCAAGGAAGTAATTTGAGTCCCCTCCATTTTATTATTATGATAAAATACTTACAGAAGGTGATCAAGGAATCAACGTGCCTTTTATTTCATCATCATCATCATCATTACAGCCCTTCACAAGTCCACTGCTGAACATAGGCCTCCCCCAAAGAATGCCACAAAACACGGTCCTGAGCCACCTGCATCCATCGACTTCCTGCATGTCTTACCAGGTCGTCACTCCATCTCGTGAGGGGACGCCCTACACTTCGCCTACCGGTACGAGGCTGCCACTCGAGAACCTTTCTTCCCCATCGGTTGTCGGTTCTTCGAGCTATATGGCCGGCCCACTGCCACTTCAGCTTACTAATCCGTTGGGCTATGTCGGTCACTCTGGTTCTACTGCGGATATCCTCATTCCTAAGTTTATCACGCAGAGAAACTCCGAGCATAGCCCTCTCCATAGCTCGCTGAGCGACCTTGAGCTTCCTCATACGGCCAGCAGTGAAGGACCACGTCTCAGTTCCGTAAGTCATCACTGGCAACACGCACTGGTTGTACAATTTCGTTTTAAGGTTTTGAGGTATGTCTGACGAGAAGATGTGTCGTAGCTTCCCGAACGCTGCCCAGCCGAGTTGAATCCGTCGATTGACCTCTCGGTCGAAGTTGGACTTACCCAGTCGGACTATTTGTCCCAGGTAAACATACTCGTCAACAACTTCGAGCTTAGTGTTCCCAACAACTATCGGCATAGGTGTGACATGGACATTGAACATGATCTTAGTTTTGTCCATGTTCATCTTAAGACCTATCCGTTGGGAAACACTATTGAGGTCATTGAGCATAGTGCTTAGGTCCTCCAGCGATTCTGCCATAAGGACTATATCGTCGGCAAATCGAAGGTGAGTGATGTACTCGCCATTGATGTTGATACCGTATCCTTTCCAGTCCAGAAGCTTGAAAACGTCTTCCAATGCAGCGGTGAAGAGTTTCGGGGATATGACGTCACCCTGTCTTACACCTCTCTGCAATTGGATAGGTTTCGTACTCTGGTTCTGTACTCGGATAGCCATCGTAGCCCTACTGTACAAGCACTTCAACACTTCGATATACCGACAGTCAACTTGGCACCGCTGAAGGGACTGCAGCACCGCCCAAATTTCGACGGAATCAAAGGCTTTCTCATAGTCCACATACGCTAGACATAGTGGCAAATTGTACTCTTCGGACTTCTGTACAACTTGCCGAAGGGTATGTATGTGGTCTATGGTGCTAAAGCCCTTTCGGAAACCGGCTTGTGCGGGAGGCTGGAAGTCGTCAAGTCTGCGCGCGAGACGATTCGTAATGACTCTCGAAAACAGCACGTAGACGCGGCTCAGAAGGGAAATCGGTCTGTAGTTCTTCAAGAGAGCGTTGTCACCTTTCTTGAAGAACAAGACCACCGCACTTCTGCTCCACGCCTCCGGTGTAATGCCACCATGGAGGACGGAATTAAAGAGCTTCTGAAGGACTTCAAGTACCGGTCTTCCACCCGCTTTCAGAAGCTCCGCTGTAATTCCATCCTCGCCTGGGGCCTTACCGTTTTTAAGGTGCTGGAGAGCCATCCTAATCTCGCTCAGACTGACATCCGGGATATCTTCGGAATAGTGTCGGATGAGACTCGCTCTTGGATCGTTACTTACACTTGCGTGTGGCTCCAACGATGATGTGTACAGCTGCCCATAGAACCTCTCAATCTCACTCAAAATCTCAGGTGTCCCGGAAACGATGCTGCCACATTCTGTCTTCAGCTTTGACAGTTGGCTCTTTCTGGCAGACAGATCTCTGGCAAAGACTTTGGAGCCTTGGTTCCGCACGATCGCTTCTTCAATACGAGCTGTATTGAATTTGCGTAAGTCCCGCCGCATGCATTTGGAGATCTGTCTGTTCAGATGCCTGTATGCTGTCAAGTCTGTTGAAGAATGTAGCTTCATCTCCCGTCTAACAGCCATGAGATTAAGAGTGTGATCGGAGAGTTTTTGTGTTCTTCTGCGGCGGGTCTTGCAGAACTTAGCTCCAACCGCATGGACAGTTTCCACGAGCTTGTCATTCATATCGTCCACTTCATTGCAGTCTTCTAGGCACTGAAAACGGTTTTGTAATTGTAACTCGAGCTGAAAGGTTTCGGGACTTTGAAACAGAGCACGAGGGGGACGGAGCGTTGACTTCATTAGACGAGACCTCTCCAACTTAACGTTTAGGTTCAATGTGCCTCTAACCATTCGGTGATCGCTACCAGTTTTCACCCTCGCGATCACGGAGACATCACTGAACAGTTGTCGTCTGGTCGTCATAATGAAGTCAATCTCATTTTTTGTGGAACCGTCGGGGCTCGACCAGGTCCACTTCCTGTGGGGCCGCTTCTGGAAGAAAGAGTTCATCATAAAGAGTCCCTCTTTCTCCATGAAGTCGGCCAGCTGCTGGCCCCTTGGGTTCCGTTGCCCTATTCCAAATTTCCCTACCTTCAGCTCACCGTTCTCTCTTGTGCCTAGTTTTGCATTGAAGTCTCCCATTAACACCGTATATTGGGTTTTGGAGGAATGCATGGCTCTAGAGATATCCTCATACATTTCCTCCACCTCCTCATCGGGGTGTGCCGAGGTTGGTGCGTAAACCTGTATGACCTTCAGCGAATACCGTTTGGTGATTCTGAGTATAAGGTACGCAACCCTCGTCGACACACTCCCGATTTTTACAACGTTGTTAACGAGAGACTTGTGGACGATAAATCCGACACCTCCTTGGGACAGATGGTCGCCCTCCCGGTGATAGAGCAAGTTGCCGGATTCGAGGATTACCGTGTCCTCCCCCTCTCTTCGGACTTCAGATAATCCTATAATATGCCAGCGCAACTTGTCTATCTCTTCTTCCAGCTCCAAGATCTTCTCGTCAGTCCTCAGGGTGCGTGCGTTGTACGTTGCCAGGTCGAGTCGTCTAAGGTGGCAACCGAACCTCCACCGGAGATTCTTAGCACTGCCTGCCCCGCCGTTACCATGGTCGCCACCGTAGCCAGGAATAGCGGGGCCGCCGGGGACTGGGGGCCGTTTTTTTGTTGCTCTCATCATTGGGGGGTATTTGCCATAGTTGCCACGCTTGGCGAGCGGGTTGGCAACCGCAGTTTTTTATTGTCATTTGGCTATTATCAGGAAGATGCTGCTGCCCATCTCCTGGCTGTTTCCCTTTGTCGCCTTTTACGACACCCACGGGAGGATATGGGGTAGTGGATATTCTTGACCGCCACTACACACCTTTTATTTACTGATGACCTAATATTAGTTATCGAAATAAAAGATACCTTAGACCATGCTAGACTGCAGCGGGATATAAATGAGGTCATGAAGTGGAGCAGGGACAATAAACACGTACGCACGTATTCCGCGCCTTCACCCGTATCACATGGAAGGAGACCAACTGCAATACGCCATGAAAGTTAAAGATCTGGGTGTTCATTTCAAGTGATTTAAAGTTTCGAGAACACATTACTGAAGTCTGCAAGAGGGCATACCACCGCATTTTATAGTATAAGGTTTACAAACGAGCACGCAGTCCACCTGATGGTAAATGGTTGCTGTGGCCCATAGACATCTACATCTATCCACGTTTGCGAATCAAAATGCAGATGCCTTGTCACTCGTGAGGACTAAGATGGAATGCCTCGTTTGCAGTAAAAAGTGTCTCCAGTTCTCTACACTCAAAATACGAAACACAGCAGCTATAAGCTGCTATTTTACGCTGGTATTCTGCGAGAGCGTGGTCCTTCCCCGGTCGAGCCGACCCATTCGTGCTACAACTATACTATTAATATAGCTGCAGCATGGCTCTACCACGTATTATTTCACTTTAACTTTTTAATTCCCAACGTTTCGGGTGCTTTACAGCACCCATGGTCACAGGAGGGACCCGTGCACCCATGGCCCCGAAACGTCGGGAATTAAAAAGTTAAATTAAACGCGATAGAATCCGTAAAAATTAGTTTCATCTAAAGTCTTCGCATAAATATGAGAAATCATTATGTTCAAAACAAGTTTGCTAGATTTTTATATCTCAAATTATATAGAGTGTATACGGGTTATCCGTTACTGTATTCTACTCTGTTTGTCCTTGGTATGATAGGATACAGTAAACTGGAGGTAAGAAGGGAAATATCGCTGGCCACATACTTGTTTAAGGTGCTACGGGGTGTAGTTAACAACCCAGCTATCCTACAGAAGATGATGTTGTGCTTGCAGATCGAAGTACCGAACGGCGGCAACGAGTGCGACTGCTGGCACTGTCACACGCGAGAACCAACTTATTACGCGAGGCGCCGCTCACCCGCAAGCTACATACGCTCAATACAGTGGCTGAGCGGATTGTTTTGTTCGGATGTTTTCTAAACGTCGTCACCATCTTGTAGACTTCACCTACCGGTACGAGGCTGCCACTCGAGAACCTTTTCTCCCCATCGGCTGTCACTATATGGCCGGCCCATTGCCACTTCAGCTTACTAATCTGTTGGGCTATGTCGGTCTCTCTGGTTCTACTGCGGATATCCTCATTTTTAAGTTTATCACGCAAAGAAACCCCGAGCATAGCCCTCTCCATAGCTCACTGAGCGATCTTGAGCGTCCTCATACGGCCAGCAGTGATGGACTGCTTTTCAGATCCATAAGTTATCACTGGCAACACGCACTGGTGGTACAATGTAATTTTTAGGTTTTGAAGTATACCTGACGAGAAGATTTTATATCTAAATTATTTATGTACATTTATATGGTAGGGCTGGGGTTTTAGGGATTGCTAGGTATTGGGAACTTATTTAGGGTCTGTAGGATCTAATACTCCTACCATGTTCGTGTGCAGCCAGGTAGTTAGGTAGTAGAGCTATTGAAGGGAAATTGGGTCGATACTTAAATAAATAGCTTCCTGACTGTACAAATGATTTGCACATTTTTCAGACACTTATTGTCAACAGAAAATACATTTATTAATATAGCTTATACATATAAATTAGTTTATGTAACAGAACACTTTTACCGTCACACACGCTCATTGGTTAAATCAAATAGCGCGCGCTACAAACTTCCGTTCCTTTTCACGAAATCACTCCCACAGACTGCGGGAAAGCCAGAGGAATGATAATACACATCAAAAACTCAAAGAATTGAAAAAGTTTCTTATAAATTTTTTCTCCGGACGTAAAGGAAAGGTTATGAGGGTAGCTGAGAATTGTAAAACGTTCAAAGCTTTTTTTATATAGGATAAGGGTGACAAGCGAGCACACAGTCCATCCAATGGTAAGTGGTTGCTGTGGCCCATAGACATCTACATCTATCTTCATTTGCGAATAAAATGCAGAAGCGTTGTTAGCTGTGAGGACTAAGATGGGATGCCTCTTTTCTAGTTAAAGAATCTTTGGTTCTCTACAGCTATAACTAACGAAACACAGCAGCAGTAAGTTATTATTTTACGCTGGTATTCTGTGAGAGCGTGGCTTAGGTCCTTTGGTGGCGCAAATAGGTCGAGCCGACCCATTCGTGCTACAAATGTAGTATTAATCAGCTGTAGCATGGGTCTAGCACATACTGGTATAAAGCGGCGTGTACACACCTCGAGGCGGCCGGCGACCGCGGCGCACCAGAGCGGCGTGACGGTGTGCACGGAGCGGTCGTCGGGCACCTCGTACACGCCGCGCTGCTCCAGCTCGGCGGCGCACACGTGCACCAGGTACTCGGCGATCTCCACGTTGCCGCGCTTGCACGCCACGAACAGCGGCGCGCAGCCGTCGCGCTTCCGCCGGCACACCGCGCGCCGCTCCTCCGGCCGCATCCTGCCGGTGTCGCTGTCTCGTCATCCTCAACTCACAAACACCCACAGTAACTGCCTACTGCACTCTATCAACCCTTCAACCAAAGAAGGCCAGTGATATGTTATCAACCTTGAGGACTAATGATTTTTATTGGAGTGAAACTTTTGAAGTGAAGCTTCTTTACCAACGTATTGGAGAAATTGAGTACGGTATTAAAAAACAAAAATGTCACATTTTTATGTAACGTTTCACCGCCGGGTCTGAATGAATATACTATTATTTAACCTACATATGTAAAATCTATACTAATATTACAAAAAGAGATTGCGAATTTTGTTAGTTTGTATATAAGTGGAGGGTAATATTCGAAACCACTGCACCTATTTGAATATTTCTTTCACCATTTGAAAGGAACATTATTCCAGATAGGCACAGGCCTATATATTCATCATCATCATTACAGCTCTTCACAAGTCCACTGCTGAACATAGGCCTCCCCCAAAGAATGCCACAAAGCACGGTCCTGAGCCACCTGCATCCATCGACTTCCTGCATGCCTTACCAGGTCGTCACTTCATCTAGTGGGGGGACGCCCTACACTTCGCCTGCCGGTACGAGGCTGCCACTCGAGAACCTTACTTCCCCATCGGTTGTCGGTTCTTCGAGCTATATGGCCGGCCCATTGCCACTTCAGCTTACTAATCCCTTGGGCTACGTCGGTCACTCTGGTTCTACTGCGGATATCTTCATTTCTGAGTTTATCACGCAGAGAAACTCCGAGCATAGCCCTCTCCATAGCTCGCTGAGCGACCTTGAGCTTCCTCATCCGGCCAGCAGTGAAGGACCACGTCTCAGGCCTATATATTATGTGTATATATTTACATTATGACTAAGTTTTGATGATATTTGTCAATAAAGTCGGAAAAAGTCGTGCCTCTTGAGAGCTTCCACAGCGTGCGGTGCGCACCAATAGTTAAAGTTCAACGAAAATAATGTATAGCTGTATTGTTCCTCTTAAAAGGTTCTACAAAAATCTCCAATAGCATATGTCTATTTTCTAAGGATAACACAATCTATACTTATACTATAAAGAGAGAGTGCGAATTTTGTGAGTTTGTATATGTGTGGAGGGTAATCTCCGGAACCACTACACTTATTTGAAAATTTCTTTTAAAGTTTTAAAGGTACATTATTCCAGATGCACCTAGGCTACATATTATGTGTACATATATTATAATATGGCTAAGAGTTGTGATTAGAGATGTTACGGAGGTTCGATTCCGATTTAAATTTTAATCGGAAGTTATATATCGGAGGTCGAAGCGATTCACCGAATACACCTCTAGAAAATCACTATAGTTGAAATTACAACGAAATTACTTTATCTATATGCTTGGGGATCACTCAAATACATTCATAACATCTATGTTCATAATTTATTTGCTCATTATTTTGATTACATATATCAATAATTTTTTTTAATATTTTAATATTCTAATTTTAGACCTTATGATGGCGTTTTTTAAGTTTTTATAGAAATTATGTACTAACTCGGATCAGTACGGCGATAGCTCGCTTAAACGGTATTGGATGTGTCGTCTTAAAGACGTCTCCTTTTATGGAGCTCTGTACAATCTATCACCTTAAGAAGAAACATGAGAGTCCATTTAGGAAAAGGTAATACACATTTCGCGAGTTTTTTATTATAACAAGGTGATGGGAAAATACCTGAAGAAGATGGCCTTATTAAAAAAGATGAATTAGAAACGTCTATCCCAAGTCATAATGATTTGATTCGAAATGTTTACCCAGCATTTGAGAATATTTCTCAAAAAGATTAAAGATGGATATGCGAGAGGGCAATAGTTTCCCCAAGAAATTCTTCTTTTGATCAAATATTAATAGTTTTCAAATATTAGAAAGAATACCAGGTAATCAAAAAATATATAAATCTGTTGATACCGTATTAGATACAGAGGACGCTGTGCATTACCCACAGGAATTCCTTAACTCCCTTAACCCTTCAAGACTTCCCAGTCATACTCTAAAAATTAAAGTAGTTATTCCAATAACTTTATTGTGAAACCTGAATCCGCCTAATCTGTGCAAAGCAACTAGACTTCAAGTAAAATCGCTACGTAATAATGTGATTGAGATTATCATTTTTACAGGACCAGCGGCAGGACAGTTGGCTCATATTCTCCGCATTTCCATGATTCCTACAGATTTAGCTTTCCAATTTAAGCGATTACAGTTTCCAATTAAATTTTTTTTCACCTTCACCATCAACAAATCTGAAGGCCAAACATACAAATATATTGAACCTGACTAAAGGGAAGATTGTTTTACTCACGGACAATTACATATTGGTCTCTCTAAGTCAGGAAATGCGGAGAATCAATTTCTATTAAAGCCGCAGAAAAATTTAACAAAAATGTGTTATACGGAGAAGTTTTAAAATCAGTTATATCTATTAAGCTAAATCTGAAATATATTATATCTCTATAGATAATTGTTCAACCCGGGCAAAGCCGGGACAGGCTGCTAGTATAAAATAAAAGAACAATGTTATGTTGTAAAGAAGTTTCACTTCATGCGTGTGTAAACAATTACACGGCCACTGCAACTGACTTCAAGCAAACACGGCCATAATAATGCAGGGGTTTTAAGGCAACTCAATTAAAATTACAGTACATAAGCAAGAAGTGCTTTTTTAAAGAATTGATGTTATTTTTTTTTTCACAATATATACATTTGATTCAAAGATGTTTGAAAACCATATTGATTAATTCAATTGAATCGATACATTTAAACATTTTCTGCTAATGGAACATATTATCTATTATAGGACTCAGAAGTTTAATAATGTTCAGATTCTTCTCCTACATGAATGAAATACCTTTGCACATTCTAACTGAATAATAAAAATATGAAGAGCACCTCCCGCCCTCCCTCAATTCACAGCACCACTACTCCCAACTTTTTTGCTGGGATTAATGGTAACGGGGATAGTGCACGCAATTGAGGGAGGGCGGGAGGTGCTCTTCATACTAGGTAAGACACATCATTTTATTTTATAGAGCGGATGTTTGCGAAGTAACTTTTTAAAAGCTTTTATATAATGGATTTCCGCAAAGTAACACCTGCCTCTATTAATTACAAAGCATAGCTAGTTATGTATAAACCCCGTCCCTCTGTTTTAGACTAAAATATTAAAATATATCATTTTCATCATTACAGCCCTTCACAAGTCCACTGCTGAACATAGGCCTCCCCCAAGGAATGCCACAAAGCACGGTCCCGAGTCACCTGCATCTATTGACTTCCTGCATGGCTTACCACGTCGTCACTCCATTTAGTAGCGGATTTCCGTTGAAGTTATTGCGTCTATATATAATCGCGCCTCATTTAGCTATTATTTATAATACTAGTATCGAATCTGGTGTGTTTCCTGATTTAATGAAGCATAGTAAAGTAATACCTTTATTTAAATCTGGTAGTACATTAGACCCCGCCAATTTTATACCTATTTCTGTACTACCAACACTTAGTAAGATTTTTGAAAAAATTGTTCTTGATCAAATGTAAATTTTTTTTAATATAAATAATTTACTTCATAAAAATCAATTTGGTTTCACAAGGGGTCGCTCGACAACTGATGCCGGTGTTGAGCTGATTAAATATACCTTTAATGCATGGGAGAATTCACAGGATGCTTTGGGTATATTTTGTGACCTATCCAAGGCCTTCGATTGTGTTCACCATGAAACATTAATCAGGAAACTTCAACACTACGGTGTAAGAAGTGATGCCCTTAAATTAATTATTTCATATTTAAGTAAGAGAACGCAAAAAGTTGTCATTAACAATATGAGCTCTTCCGGATCGATGGTACAAATGGGCGTGCCTCAAGGCTCAATTCTCGGCCCCTTTCTGTTTCTTGTATACATTAATGACTTACCTTACATAGTAGGGGATAACCAAGATATAGTATTATTTGCAGATGACACTTCTTTAATTTTCAAATTAAGTCGACAGTTACTAAAATATGACGAAGTAAATAATGCTATATCTAAATTAGTAAATTGGTTCGATGTTAATAATTTGCATTTAAATGGCACTAAAACAAAATGTATGAAATTCGTGACTCCAAATGTCAAACAATTAAATACTAATGTAATTTTAAATGGGGAGAAACTGAGTCTTGTAGATACCACCATTTTTCTTGGAATTACACTAGACGCGAAGCTTCAATGGAGCCCCCATATATCAAAACTAGTAAGCAGACTTAGTTCTGCAGCATATGCTGTAAAAAAGATTAGAAGTCTAACCAGTGTTGAAACAGCTAGACTAGTTTACTTCAGCTACTTCCATAGCATAATGTCGTATGGTATTTTGCTATGGGGACACGCAGCTGACACTGAAATTATATTTGTTTTGCAGAAGAGGGCCATAAGAGCAATTTATGATTTAAAGCCTAAAGAGTCGCTGCGACAAAAATTTAAGGAAATTAATATATTAACTTTGGCCTCTCAATACATTTATGAAAATGTAATGTACGTACACAAAAATAAAAGTAGTTTTACAAAAATAAGTGATATTCATTCTGTCAATAGCTAGTAGTACCAGTTACTCGACTCCATCGAGTCAGTAATTCATTCTTGGGGCGATGTATACGATTTTACAACAAAATTCCAGAAAATATACAAAGTTTGACCTGTTCAAAATTCAAAAACTTTATTAAACTAAGTTTGTATAAAAAGGGTTATTATAATATTAAGGAATTTATGGATGATAATAACCCCTGGAAATGAGGTGATCGCTACCAAGATATTTCTAATTTGTTGTGTCGTTAATTTGTGTAACATCATGATTGTAAGCTGTTATTTAAAAAAAAAGTCCCGCTGGGTTTCTTGCTGGTTCTTCCCAGGACAGAGGTTTTTTTCGAACCAGTGGTAATCAAACAAAAGAGTGACTTTCAATAAGTATTATTTATAATCTATATTGAATAAAAAAGTTTC